AAGAGTACTTAGCATCGTACAAAACATCAGTTTCTTTTAGAAAAAACATTTTTGAATTGACTTGGCAGCACGGAAAAATATATTTTTTGCATTAAGAATTATGTAGTGTTTTGCTGGAAAAAATTAATTCTTATTTGGCAATCCTACAATGAGTATTTCTTGCCTTAAGACTTTATATCCATCTGCAAGTCAGAAAAAACTCAGTTTTGTGTTTATTATTATTATTTTTTTTTGAAGAGGCATTTATTTAATAAATAAATAAAAGTAGCGTACATTGATGGAAAGCCGTGTACTTTTGGAATCAGTGATTCATTTCGAAAAATTTTGAATCAATCTCCGAAAAAAGGTGCTTGGCGGCAAGAAAAAATTTTCTGGTAATAGTATCTTAAGGGCGACTGCCCAAAAAAATCGATTTTTGTCAAATTAAAAATCGAAATTATTATCGAAAATCTTATTCCTTCGATCATTACCTGACAAATGTACTTAAGCAGGTCATATGTTTCAAGTCGATCGGTCCAGTGGTTTCGGAGAAATTTTTCTCAGTCACTCCGAAAACAGCGTTTCGAGAAAAACGCGTTTAAAGTTTTGGAAGCAGATTACACTATATAAGTTAAAAAATTCTTACAATTACGTTCATATTTTCAAAAATATTTGCCGGATCGTTTTCTGAAAGTATTCTCAAATATGTACATTCCATAAATATGTAAAACAAAAAATCGCCTTTTTGTCTTAAAATAATTTTTAGTCGTTTGCTTTTCCTTTTTCAATTCAAAAATCACAATACAACACCTAATAAAAAGTTTTACAAAAGCAAATCGCTAACACCATTAAGCTGATTAGCCATCAACACTTGAGTATTTGCGACAACTTTATTTCTATTGCGCGATAAATCACATCGCTTCTTTGTGCGAATTTGTTAAGTTTGATTGATCACTTTAGCGCAAAATTAAGGCGGTTTTTTTAAAAAACGTTTGAGTGTCACAAAAGACGCACGCTGGAAAAAACACTTTACAAATTTACGTAAAAAAATAATATGACAACATAAGCCAATTCTCTAAATTAGATTGTCTAGAAGTTAATATGTAGTACAAGTCAAGCATGTGGGACAACAAATAGCCGATCAAAAGGGTGGTGCTGTAGAACACCCGCTGCGCGAACATGACAGATAACAGTTAACGGCAATTATTGACTTAAAAGATTGGGAAAACGCACATAAAAATACTGACATACCTATACATATATGTATATATGTGTATATACGTAGATAAATACAACCACAGCCACAGTTTTCATGTTCCTTTCGAACACTTACTTGATTGATTAAGAAGATGACCTCAATTGAATGCGACGGTCTACTTGCCGATTACACGCCAATACAAATTAGAAACAACAACACATGCGTCAAAAAAATATATTTTGAACAAAAATTCCATTTATTAACTCACAAGCAAAAGCTTGTCGGGTAATTAAAAAATATTTGTGATTATGTACGTATGTATGTATGTAGCCTATGTGTATCAATTAATAATTGAAAGCAAAATTTTTAATCAGCTTTAATAAATGCTCAGGAAATACCAGCATCGGACAGATGTAGATCGTAACAGATGCGGTAATAAAAGCAGGTCAGTGACGTGGTTAATATACACCCTATAGGAAAAATCGATGGTACCCTGTTTGAAAATTTACTCGCAGTAATATATATTTATTCAAGCATCATTCATAACTATGCCAAAAACATTGTTTATATGATTATAAATTTTTCTATGTTTTCGACATTTCGATCATTTTGGGCTTACTAATAATTTTTATAACGGTCTGCAAAAAAGTCATATGGATTTGGCGATATTGTAGTGAAAAATATAAAACAATTGACTATAGAATGTAATTTGATATCATTGAGACAATATAGCTCAGTATTCTGAAGCAATAGCTGTCAAAAAATGTCAGAAATAGCCAAGAATAATAGATATGAATAGCTAATGTAATTAGCTGATAGAATTTATCTATTTTATATAATATACATTATCTTTTCAGAACAAATTTATATAAATTTACATTTATTATATAATCAAACTATCGATATCGGCATCCCGATATCCAAGTGATATAATTTCGGAATTTTCGAACAAATGAAATGGAAAGTTGTATGGACATGTATTTAAAAACTTGTAATCAATTCCATTTATTAAATTAATATATTTATGGATGCTGAAGTAATTATTGTCGAAAATTTTCAAAAATAGAAAGGAATTGTAGTAATATGTAATATAACAACGATATTGATAAATGTATTATTATATTTTCAACCGATTTTATTTGAATTCACAATTAATTTTTATAAATTATAAAGCTATGTATATCGGCATCCCGATATCCAAGTGACATAATTTCGGGATTTTTAAACATATACAAATAATTGTAAAATGTGTCATATCCACACGCGCTCAAAAATTACAGTATGTACGTATTTATTTCTTCACGGAATTTTTTTCCTACTGGGTGCTGATTAGCTTCGAATGATCGAATATGTTAATTGGCATGCACATGATATTACATTTTCTGCATATAATGTCTTAAAGTAAATTGCGGCGCCCAACATTGAACTTGAACTATATGAACCCAGCTCACGATTATAAATAAGAAAGAATTTCTCTTCTCTACTCAAGTCATGATCAAGAAATACAAAATTTTCCCTATTGAGCCTCTTATATACATTGCTGTATATTACTTATATATTGCTACGTACATATGTATATAATAACTATATATATAAGTGCATTAGTACTTTGTTGTGGAGCCACCGAACAACCATCGCCACTACATTGCGACCGATCATTAAGCGACAAATGTCAACGACAGCCACTGACAGTTGGAGCAGGAAATTGACTGCTGAAAAATTGCGCAAATGTCAACAGTGTGTGAGGGACAGGCGGTGGTGTACAGCATAAGCAAAAAACTTTAAACTAATATCAGATATTTTATACATATGTATAATTTTTCATTGCAACAATCGCTAGCAATCAGCTGTTTTTCAACGCTCGCACTTAGTTAGCAGTAAAAAGTCAGTGTCATTTATCAATGCGCCTGTCTGCTGGAAAGCCTCGCACATCAACAAAATCGGTTTTGCTCTAACTTTAAAGAATTTGAAATTTCTGTTTTAAATGTTTGTTGATTAAACGGTAAAAATAATATTCTGAAAAAACACAACATTATAAACACTCTTTTTCTACGTAGACATATGTATTTAAAGCAGAACTCATCTCTTCGCCACACGCTCAGACACATATGTATGTACATGGTCGCGGTAATGACAAATTCGTGGCTTGTTTAGAATCTCTTGACGTTTAAGCTGTCAAACAAACGTCACGCAGTACAAGCAAATCCAAGTTTGATATATGTGTGAGTATTAATTTTTTTGTTGTTGTTTGATGTCGGCGAACACAAAGTTTTTGACTTATCTTAGTGTACTTTTTAGACAAATTTTCATGGCTGAGTGACGTATGGAAATCACGACTTCAATAAAAAGCTACACCGCACACAATTCAGTGGGGTTCTGTGGTTGCGTAAGTGTGTGGTCGGAAAATTTGTTCACACACATACATGTGTACATACATATGTACAAGTATATAGGTGGTTGAGTCCAACTCGTTTATTGCTTTTTCTGTCATTCACATGCATAACGGCTTAATTGTAAAAACTTGTAGACGAATGAAGTGCTCATTTGTTTACAGAGCAGCTTAGTTTTTATTTTATTATTTTTTTTTTTGTTCTAGGCCCTTTTTAAAGCAACTTTTACATAAAACGTGTGCGCAGTTTTCTCATAGCCAGTGATTTTTATTGCCAGTTAACTATTAAAGTGTTTTTAAGCATATTGAATGCATCAAAAGCAGTGAAATGAAGTAAAGCATTGTATAGAGCATTTTAGTAAGCGTTTACTACTCAATTTAATTGTTCGGAAGTGTCGCCTGGGTGGCTGATTTATTGATTTTGAAAATTTATCGATTTTATGTAACATATGAAAAGCACTTCTCGAAATTCAATGTGTAATAGCAAGTCATTGTGTAATAGTAAAATAATTATTTTTCTAAGAAAAATTATACTAGTATGCTTCCTTTAACGCTGAAACCTTTCAAACAGTTATGCGTCCATTCTTCTTTTCATAGCACGATCATACAAGCTCACACGGATTTATGAATAAAAAATAACTGCTTAAAAGCTTTTACGATATGTAAATTTGTGTACCTTCTCTTGAGCTCGTTAAGGAAGTTACTTTGTTCTGACCGCAGATTTTGATAGACACTATAGTCGCGTGAGGCCCTATAGAATGAATCATACTGCTTGATTTGTAATTCTATATACTGCCCAACGTTATACCACCCACCAGTTATTTTTTTTTTCTTTTGTTAATACATACGTACATATATACCAGAACGACTATCAATATCATTCTATGAAAGCCAAAAAAGGTTTGTGATCCAAAAAAATCGCTCGAAAAATTAATTGAATGTAGGTTAGTGAGATCAATCTAATCTATATGGAATCTGCTATATGCTACGAAATCAAGTTATGCTGGAAAAAATTGCAATCTTTATATATAGTTTTCTTGAGTTAGAAGAACTGTAGTACCGGACTTACAATAGACCAAATTATGAGCTATCCAAAGCCACTACTGATATGCATTGCATAGAAATAGTGTGCCAACCGCTTATAGCAATCAAACAAGAAAGAAAACATGGAACTTGTCCGACCTCCAAGAAAGTTAAAAGTTATACATATATATTTTCAACTAAGTAATGTATATTTATAAACATGAATAATATAACTGTTATTCCTAAATATTGGATAACAACATATAAAAAAATCTAATTTCATTACCATCAATGACATATGCCACTATAAATTAAAGTTCTCACCATTTACAACCGAACTATTCTCAACCAATTTTACCATACCACACACAACTAACTGTTCTCACTTTACTCTCATTTCTCACCACACAGTATGACAACGTTAATTCATGCCTGAATGTGTTGCGGACACAGGCGGTTTGTGGCTTGGATAACATCACCACCAATGACATCTGTGCCGGTCGTTTGAAAGCAGTTTTGGCGCTCTTCTTTGCGCTCAGCCGCTACAAACAACAATCGAAGCAACTATCGACGAGCACGACGCCAAATGCGAATGTTGTATTGGGCACAACAAATACAGCAACTAACAATACAACCTTGGCTGCGATAACAAATAATACGACACCTACAGGCGCGACGACTGGCGCTAGTAATCAACAGCTGCAACAAAACCAGCAACAGCAGCAGCATCTGCAGAACGGCAATGAAACCATGTTGAATAGGTGAGTACCAAATTCACCATATGTTGTAATAACAGTTTATATTTAATTGAACAGGTTGTTGTACGGGGTAAACGGAACTATTTTCATAGTATATGGTATATTGGGAATGATTTTATATGAGAACAGCATTGAAAGCGGGGAAAAATTATTAAAATATTTGAACAAGAATATAAAGTGGGAACGAATATGAAGAATATTGTGGGTTTTAAACGGTGATATTTGAGTGTAATCAATAACTGGTTCATGTTGCTGCTATATAAACTCGTTTTCGGTTGCGGAATTTGCTGTTTGAGAACAGCTGAAAGCCTTTTTAAATGTTAGAGTAACTTAATAGAATAAATGATTTTTCTGCTAGGTATTCTTGAAACTGAAGACTTTCAAATTAAAAAAGGTAGAAGACAAAACGTGAAGAATGCTCTTAAGGAAGAGGCTAGCCTCACTAAGGGCAAAGTGCTTACTGGAGCTCTTGCGATCGGCCTTTGGTCAAAATGTCTCCATTTCTATTTCACTGATAGCGGGGCTAGGGTGCCTTTTCTTACAAGACCGTAAGTTTGCCGGTAGCGATTTCAGTGTGGCCTAGCACATATACTAGTCTTACCACAAATTGACTCGCTGCTTTTGATAACGGGGTAAGTTATTGCTTAACCAGCCTTGAACACACGGTTCGTGAGTTTTATGAGCTTTGGAAAGGCAGGTGTCTACAAAAACTCTATCCTGTGTTTACTTTCCACTAAGATATCAAGATATCCTTCGAAAAATAGTTGCATGCAAGAGAACAGCGTGCTTTAGATTTACATATGTTGATCTGCTGTCTCGGAATATAGGCGGCTGCAGCGAAGTTGTGGTTTTGTCCTATGTAAATTACTGCACCTCTCTTTTAAAAAATGGAGCACTTCCCAAAACTCGCACCTTAACTCAGCAGGTTTTCAAAACCGTAGTAAAAGTACTGGAGCGAACAATCATCATTGAGCTCCAGGCTAGCACTCAAAATGTCATAAGTTCTTATCCAAAAAGACAACCGAACCATTTTCCCAATTTTGAGTGTATTCCGGACGAGAGAACGCTTTCAGAAGTCTGGAGGGCTTTCGAAATATGAATAACTACTACTCAATGTACCGAAAATGTTAAAGACGCAATTATGAGCGCTCTAACTTATAAGAAAGCAGTAAAACGACTACTCAGTTAATTAAAAAAATGTACGACTTGTGTAAATAAACTTCGTTTAACTACAAAATCACTCAATAATAACTGCTGCCATTGAGCTGTCAGATTCGCAATTCCTTTAATTGAACAGTTTGTTTGTCAAAACGTAAAAAATGAACAACTGACAGCCATTTGACAAAGTTTTATGAAATAAAAAAATTCACATAAAAAAGCATTATTAAAAGTTGAACGGAAATGAAGAAGAAAACGCCATGTAGTTTATGTAAATACGAATATATATGTTTATATGTATTTCTATGCCACTTCATGCGTTTGTGTGCGTGCGATGTACTCCTGTCTGCCAGCAAAACAAATCTAATATGATTTATCGCATTGTTTGCTAGGAAATTACAGCGCATATCGATTCCCAGCGGATTTCCGTTTCTAGTACGCACAAATGTTTGCACTTGTGTGTATATGTATACGTGTGTATGTATGTGTTTGTATGTGTTAACGGCAGTTTTCTATGCGCTCCACAAAAACCGCCAACAAACTCAATCAACTCCAATAAACTGCAATCTCAGTTAAACTTCGAAATGAAATTCCACAGGAAAAAGTTCACCCAGCTCCAACAACAGCAACAAAAAAAAACGTCTCCAACACAATCTTTTTATTGACATTTCGCACAGCTAAACACGTTTTATTTTATTTTATTTTTTTCCTTTTTTAATTTTTTTTTTTGCTAAACATACGCTTTTTCTGCTTTTAAAAGAGGGTACCGTTTTTGCATTTGTGTGTGCGTATGTAAATTTGCATTGGTGTGCGTTCAAGTGCGTTTACTGCCCAACTGTGGAGCTACAGCAGCAAACTCCTCAAATATTAGAAAATTCAAAACATGCCGACCAATTTTCGATTCAAGTTTATTTGTGTTGCCTCAAACGTACGCACCTTCACTGCTATTGCTAGCCACAACCACCTGCACCATACCCTCAACACCACCACACCACTGGCATCGTCATGGAAACGCAGCGCTTTGATGCTGCCACTTCTCATTGCAAAGCGATGGGACGGTGGGGAGCAGCTGCAGAGAACATGACTAGGCAAACAACCCCAAATGACGCAAGTGGCGGGAAATCCCGTTAGACGGGAAACGGAAGCTGCTTTTCGGTATGCACTCGCATTTAAAGCTACTCCACCAACATTACAACAAATACACAGTCAAATAAGCAGATGATAGCGATGGGTCTGATGAAATGGGGGTTACTTATTGTTGATGGCTTTGGTGACTCCCCAGCGTACTTTGGGGAGTCGCTGTTTGCGTTGTTTGTGTTTTGCATGAATGGAGGTCGTTAGCTGCAGAAGTTGTAAGCGAAAGCATTTAACTTTCGGTTTTGTTTGCGCACGAGGGCGGAGGAAGCGCTGGAATTCGGTGTGCGTTGGGGCATTAGCCTGGTTTTATGGTGCGACTTTTATTAATGCGGTGGGGCGGTTGGGGTCATTTATTTTTGCATACCTCTCCGCAGCCAGGGAGACAGTCAAATAGTGTTGATGATGATGATGACTTTGGACAATGCTTTGACTATGAAATTTAAATGCGAAACGGAAATACAATATGTATCAACAGGATTACAAGCAGCGGCGGTGGGAGGGTGCACAAGTGCACGCGAGTGGTAGATGTATTGCCTGTAATGCTGGATTTTATATATAATTCGAGTGGCAATAATAAGCAGTGATTTAAGTTTTGGTATTGAAGTGGAATTTCGAGCTTCAAAATTACTTTTTAGGGGTGTAGGGAGTTTTCTATAATTGAGGTTGTGTTAAATGTGCTGAACTAACATAAAATTTCCAGTCTTCATCTGCCATAGAAAATTATTTTAATTTTCTGTTGCAAATATATTATCCAGTCCATTTAATCCATTAGTTTAAATAAAAAAAATTTCTACTTGCATCTATGGTCTTAATCCGTTTTAAGAAAATGAAAATATAGTATTCTCTATGTAGAGATTATAGGTTAAAAGTTCGATACAAAAACGAATCCCACTTGGACAGCTGAGAACGCCGGTCTATTGTGATGCCTAAATACCTCTAAGTATCAGTAACAAATTACCAAAAATCGACAAAGCGCTTTGAGCCTGCCGCGAATTTGTTGAGGCGGCTAAAATCAAATACAGCTATTTCGTCAGGTTCGGTATGACTGCCGAGATGTTTCAACTTCAATCTTGCAAAAGCTGAATAATGAAGGAGAAAGTGCCTGGATATTTGTACGTCACATTCTTCTATATGGCTTCGACAACTAGCCTACGACAAAATTTTTAGCATTAACGGTTGTTCGCCTATTAGACGATATTCAGCCTCCTACGTTTGTTTTGAGATAAGATGAAGCTTACTGTTAGCAATTAGGTCAGTGGAGCTCAGAGTAGCAAATTGTTGTTGACCAACGCCTGCTTTGCTCACGCGAAGTCCAGAGGTGCAGCGTTAGAACGCAAGAAGACAACAGAGACCCAGCTCGTTCACAATCCGATGTAATCGGAGCAAGATGGTCCTTTCTTGCCGAGCTCATCCAAATTAGGCGTATTAAAGACTGCTTCTAAAGAAATATTTAAATAAAAAACAATCTGATTTTCAAACTGTTTTCCACTTCAAGTCATAAATCTGTAGTTAGAACTTTTTGAACTTAAGATGTCACTTCGGTCGACACTTAAGCTCTTTGCACACCTTAGTCAGCATAAAGCTGCCATACAAACTGAAAGATCGTAATCAAGTGTTTCTATGGAACACTTTTTAACTTGAAATTATATTTTCATGAAATTTTGCACGAGTTATAACCTATAGCAGAGATGCAACCACTGCAGAAATTGTTCAGATCGGATCACTATAGCATAATTTCTTGTAAGTAATCTTTTGTATATGTGAAGGGTATGCTATCTTTAACTCAAATGAGTTATTGATTATTGCCTAATTATAGGAGAATATAGGAATGTTAAAATGTGCTAAAAACCCAGAACTTATATATCAGAAAGAAAATATACAATGCTAGAAATAAATTTTAATGAGTGAGCGCTGGTATTTTCTTTAATTAGTGGAGGAGAGCCCAAGCAATCGCTATTCATTTCCACTATTAAATTGGAAGTATTAAAACATTATATGTACTTGCATATATGGCATGTATTAGCCAAACTTTCCCACACAAACAAACATATCATAACTTGTCTACTATAACTTACACTTTGTCCAAAAACAAGCCTTACACGGAAATTCATTTTCTAAAATCAAATAAAAACGTCTCTTCAATTAAAGCAACAATGTGAATAGTCACAAAAATATAACTAAAACCCAAAACCACAAACTAACAGCATAAAACTTTTGCATGTTTCTGCGAATACATTGTATCCTTGTTTCCCGCCTGCATATGCTCTTCCTTGCGAACAGCCAACTGACAAAATCTGTCTGTTTGCCCGCCACTTGTTTATAGCGTCTGCGGCTTGACTCCAACTGCAGCGAAAATCCTCAAACCGCCGAGCGCCAACAGCCGACAACCGACAGTCAACCACCGGAGTCACTTTCAACCATCAACCTTGTCGGCGACATTGAAAACAAATACCCAACCGACAGACATCATCCGAAACAAGTGGAGCAGACACACAACATGCATGAGAGTACGTAAGAGTACAAAGGTCCTTGTGGCGGCTGAAGGCAGGATATTTGTTGGCGCTGCGGCCTCTGGGGCATGTGGAGCTTTAACAGATTTAAACAGCAAAGAGACAGTAAAAAGAGACAGAGAGGAGGCAAAAGAATCACCGATTGCTATGCAAAAACGAAATTTATACCCAAATGCCGTAAAAACAAAAGTATAATTG